GGTAGAAAACTTTAATCGCCAGTCGATGCTGGTGACGATTCCAGCCCCTGTTTCGTTGAGAAGTGACTGAGCGAGTCGGAGCTGGAGCCGCAGGGAGTTGCCGAAGAGGGAAAAACCAGAGTAGGCCTAGTGTGGCAGCCGACGAGGGTCGAGACCAATCAGATTTCTCGCTGGCTCAAGCTTCCACGTTGTGGGGCCGGCCTGTCGATCTTTATGCCGACTGCGCTTCCAGACCGCCCATTGGTCGGGGCAGTGCCATCCAGGGCAGCCGGCTTCGTATGGATCCGCCTCAGTGTCCGTCGGTGGGGTCGACAATTGAACGTGCCACTAGAAAGGAGGGGGAGGGATCCGTAATTACACAACAAACAGCATTGACAGGCCGCGTCAGTCACCAGGAAGAAAAGTTATTAGTGATTATCAATTGCCCTCAATGGACAACCTAGATGTACATCTAGATATAGATACAGGTCTTGGTATAGTGATCATGGATATTCTCGTAAGAAAGATCGTGACAGGGGGTGAGATATGCTCAGTAAGTAGAAAAGAGTGACTGTATCCACACAGGAGGATGAAGGGGTAAAGGAAAAAAGAAAAAGAAAGACAAAAAAAGAAAAATAATCTAGGGAATGAATGGCAGGTGGAGTAGGAATCCGGCTGAATTCTCCACCCGCATCACCCGCTGTGGCGATTCATCTTCTGAAAATCTTCGGGCTCGGCTGGCTCGTGCGAAATTTCGATGGTCGTCTCCTGGTACACGCCATGCCCCAGATCAGCCAGTTCCATGTCCGTCTTGCGCACAATGTCTTCGGTAGACGAGTCGCGGTTGTCGTCCACCGTGTCGTTGATGCTCTGTAGGCCTCCCCGCCGAAATCGGGTCTTCATGCGCGGCTTTTTCGTCTCGCTGTGGCCGTGACCGGTCGTGATGTGCGTTTGGTATGCCGCCGAATCCGTGTAAGCATACATCCTGTCCGAGGCGCTGAGCTCGGTTTCCAGCAACAAGTGGCGACGAGTCAAGGTATACACTGTCACATCCACCAAGCCCGACAAAGCCATCAGGGTTCCGGCCACCGCAAAGTAAGCCCGGCTAGGAATAACATGCCGGGCAGTTGACATGCGGCCTGCCGCCAACGGAAGCGACAGCACCAGATAAACCAAAGGATAAATGACCATGTAAACGACCACCCGGTTCAACCGCTTCAAGTTTTCTTGTTGATTCTGACGCAGAGACGCCGCCTCCTGCATACGGCGTCGGAGGTAGAAAAACATGATCCCGTAAAGGATGACTGTACCGAATTCGGCGAGGAAAATCCAAAAATAATGCAGCCATAGTCGCTCCGTCTCGTGTTGTGGACTCAACCAGCACTGGAGGTGTGACAGAGAAGTTAGTTTTTGAATCCGTGTACCAAGCAACTTCAGGACCACTTACCCAGCCTGCTTCGGATATAACAAAGGTCTCGGAGCCAAACAAGCCAACGGGAATGAGACCAAGGATGATGATGAATATCCAAAGGCCCACGACACTGGCGACAAAGATCGGGAATGGCAGCTGTCGACCTCGCAGAACCACGGCACCCGTATGCATGGCGATCGCTAAGACAAACAGACCACTTCCAGGATCACCAACCTGAATCCACCACCCCTGAAGAACGCAGGGTGCACTGGGATAGTAGACATAGCCTTTGGAAACCCAGTGAAGACATAACAAAAATGCCGTTGCTTGTTGGAGATCGACCAGGAGGAGATTATAAATTAAGACAACGTACTGGTTCTGTGCCAGCGGACGCTTGTAGTATTGACGCCAGAAGATGAAACGATAGGTAAGGAATGACAGCAGACCGAAGGATGCAACAAAAGAACAGAGAGCGACAACACCCATGGCGGTGAACCCTGCTTTGTCGCTGGCCGTGAGGGTTCCGACCTGCGGGGTCGATCGACCTGCAAGATGGGCGCGACCAGCATCACTGCTGTACAGCAGGTGTGACAGTAGTGACAGAGCAGGCATCGTTCATCTCCTGGTGTAAGAGTACCTAGATCCAAAATGCTAGGTTGACGGAGGTACCAGGGTCCAGCCGGCTCAGAAAAGTAACAGGCGCAGGCTTTAAATCCTGGGGCAGAAGGTTGTTGAGGATTCTTAGGGACTGGCAGGCTAGAAATTGGGTTATCATGCATTTCAACGTCCAGTCTAAATTCTCCGCGAAGCATCCTTAATTTTCGCTTCGCTTTCTAGTTGAATTCGGCCAGCACAATTGGCCGTGACTATCCACACGTCTTGCCTCTTCCGACTGCAGACCCGGATAGGGGCCACACAGATCTGGTATGGAGCATCCGAAAATCTGACAATGGGTCAAGCTTAGTGCGGGTTAGTGAGTGGACCGCAGGGACCAAAACACCAAATGCTAAGCTCGCATACTGCTAGCGCATGATTTAGCAGGAATAGTACTCTGTAGCTTGCACGCTGCACGGTCTTCGTTCGCGGGGTCCACTCCTGCATCTAACACAATCATTTTTATTAGTATTCTCCGAGTCCGTTGCGCTGCTGCACAGCCGCCGATTTGCGAGGAAGTCTAGAAAAGACGCTCAGTCCCAGAGGAGAGGAAGATTGCCAAGTTTTGATTCCCTGAAGATGCTCAATGAGTGTTTACGTCAATCTGTAACCGGATCTTCTTCGAAAGCAAGGGTGCCTGCCGTTGGTGCGGACCAGGCGACATGCTCCTTACTGAGCACTGCTGATCCATACTGGAACAGCCAATCCCCTGAAGTCTGCAAGAGGACTCGAGAAGGAGTCGAAAGTTCTGTGCAAGATCGCCTGCAGGACGGAGTATCGATCTAATCTGCACGGGGAAGTCGGGCTGTTGCGCCAAAGATCTTCATGATTGGAGGCGCACGCTCTCCGATGATGCGACGGAGTCTAAACGCAGCTGGGTCAAGTAGTTGCAGGCTTATACAGCCCCCGACTGCTTGTGGGCTAGTCGCTTTCGCACGCCATCGAAGTTTGTCAGTCAGGGAGTTTACGTAGACACAAAGCTTCTCGACCTCAAGAGTTCCGCCAATGGAAGGCTATCGCGGCCCAGAAATCTGGAACCGGTTGTTGGTGGGAGATGATCCAAGGTATTAGCATCTTTGCATTGTTCAGATGCTGGTGATTGCGTTCTGTGGTATATTGAAGAGGGAGTTGACAGAGTTGACAGAGTTGACTTTTGGTGGTGGGCGAAAGGACAGAGAAGGCAAGTCAAGTGGCCTTTCCGTGTCTCTCGGTTTCTTTCCTCTTTAAGGTTTCACCAACTCATACTACATCGATGTCAACTCAACTGTCTCAGCTCCTCCTTCCCCAAGTCATTCCTTCCACACGCCATCACATCTCTTACTCCAATCTTGACTCATTTCGGGTTGTGCAGTGATCTTCAGGGATGAGCGGACCTTTCCAAAGCCATGGTCTTGAAGCTTAATTGCTCGGGATTCCCCCCCAAACGTGGCCAGGAGCTGACCCGATCGGCTGGGTACGACCTCGTGAGGTACATAGAAAGCTAATCTTCAGAAACAGCCATGTGATGGCTCATCCATGGTTCCTGAACCATACCAAACTTCCCAGCCGCGAGGCTAGTTCCAAGGAACGAGCTCCTAACCATGAACCGTGGTCTACTCCAAGTGCCATCCCACCATACTGCGGCTACCGCGATACTCCCATCGTCATCAGCAGACACAGCTTCAAACGTCAAATCCAAAGTGCATGAACAGGGCCTCGACGGAAACCACTTTCAGATTTGTTGTCGCTGGTAACAAACAAAAAGAATGCGGAGACCAAGTGTTTTATTGGAGGGATTTCCAACCGGTCGGCAGTGGGAAATTACAGCAACCATCTCAGCTTTGCACAGTGCCTTAGAGGTGTTCGGCACCTCAATCTGTAGGATAGAGCCGTCGCGGCCCAACCCTAATGCGGCCGTGGTTTTCCACCCCAGGGCTTCGGACCTCCTGCATTTTGCGTACCCGACCTTCTGTCTGGGGGTTACTCCGAACATCGGATCTGGAAGGATTGATCGACGGGAGGCATCGCGCTGCTTCGACGCCGGATGCGACGATCCCTCCCTAATGGCTCGTCTCGTTTCTTGGCATGATGAGACCTTAACAGTTAATAGTTAAGTGGCACCATTCGCCAAGATACTCTGGGTGTAGTCAAGCCTTTGCAGAAAATTTTTGGTTCGGTGTTCAAACCATCATCGAATCGGCCATGTATGTTTGACTCACCAGTAAAAATATCCCCAAGCAGCTTCATCGTCGAGATTGATGATTGACGTTGTTAAAGACGGAATACGGGAAGGAATGCTGAGTCGCTTGGCATGGAGTTGCATGACCTGGCCATGCTGCAGTTGTATTACTCGGATGATCTATGAATAGGATCCATTCCCAGTCAACCCACAGCCTCCAAGACAAGTCACCTGGTTTTCTCCCAGTCGGAGGTAGCCGGATGAGAGAGCAGCAAATGCCTCTAAGGCTGTATGTCTCATCCCAAGCCCGAGCTCGTTTGCTCTGACTGGTCCGGATTGTCTGTGCTGCGGTCCCTGCCACCCCCGCATGTCCCTCCCGCTCACTACTGATGTGGTGTTGCTCTCCGCCAAATGAGGGGGGATGTCTCACTCCCGCCTCGTTGTGTGCAGATCTATACCTGTCACTGTCCTAGTTCGGAATACGTGGACGATATATTCTGTGATCATGTTACTATTCCCAGCATCAGGCCTCCAGTGCTTAGGCGGATGCGACGGATCATAGCAGCACGTTGACCAGGTAGGTCATATCCAGGCAACTACCGAGCGAGGCTACCTTCGATGATACACCGCTTCGACCAAGTCAAGGAAGAGAGAAAGCTATATAAGCCGCTCCTCGGACACTTCAAATTGCCTGTTCATCAAGTTCATCTCGCACATCCTCTTATCCACGCCATCGATAAACCAGGAGTAATAACTTCTTCATACTCTCTCAGCCCAGACAATATTCGTCACTCCAAAATGAAGTCATTCGCATCTGCTCTGGCTGTTCTCAGCGTCTTCTACTCCTCCGCCCTAGCCTCCCCAGTCGAGGCCACTACTGAGGCCGCCGAGGCCGCCGAGGCCGTCAGTGTGTCCGTCTCCTACGACACTGTGTTTGATACCGGCAGCCAGTCCATCGACACTGTCTCTTGCTCCAACCTTAACTACGCGACCTTTGCCGACATCCCGGGCTTCCCCAACATCGGAGGTGCCCCCACCGTGTCGGGCTGGGGCAGTCCCAACTGCGGAAAGTGCTACCAGCTGACCTACGGCAGCACCTCGATCTACGTGACGGCCATTGATGCTGCCCCCGGTGGCTTCAATATTGCCGAGGCGGCCATGAACAGCCTGACCAACAACCAGGCCGTTGCGCTGGGTCGGGTTACAGCGACCTACACCGAGGTGGATTCATCATTCTGTGTATGAGCGGTCGGAGGCTGCGAGCTTGGGAATTTTCTGTCTAGTTGGTTAATGGATTGAGTGATGGATATGTCATATTTCGGTCTTTGGATTTTGCTAATCTTCTAATGTCATAATGTCAAATATCTGCATGTTTCGTGCACCGTCATGCAAAGTCAACAGTAGCACTGTTGTAAGCAGTAAGTCACAAGCTGACCTGTACAGCATCAATTGTAACGTCCTCAAGTAGTTCCTCCTGTCTTCAGACAATGGTCATGATGGTATAGAATACAGAAGAACGCCGGATGCGAGGCTCTTCCCAGTACAACTTGCATCTTGCATCTCCCTCTACTAAACAGCCTCAGACCCATCTTGGATCAGCAGTGTGTCCATATACACCATCCCATTCATCGCCCTCGATCCCCACAATTTTGCATGGGTTTTTGCCCGCTCCCAAATAAAGTAAGTAGGTGCGATATACCTTGCTCGCGTTTCTTCAAACTCTGCTACCAAGCCCCATGCGCCCAAATTCTCGTCGGCCATCCATACTTCATGTTCAGGTCCGTGCGTGCCCTTTCCATCATACAACAAACCCACGTCCGCGGGTGGTCTTCGTGGCCGTAGACGACCGACAGTACTGGTTCCCAAGATGCGTAAAACCGTCATCGACGAAAGCAAGACGTATGGGAGAGGGATGAGTTGTAGGCTGCTTTCCTCGACCTTTGAGTTGCGCCCCTTCCCTTCCCTTCCCTTGTCCTTTCAATGACCAGATTCCAGTGAGCTTTGTAGTTATCATCATGGTTCGTATCCTCACGACTGATGGATGATTCTCCTACTCAAGGCAGAAACCCCTTGGGTTCAGGAAATGTGATGCTTGTCCACCTCCTAGGGTGTCATAGACCCCGAGGCCGCTAATTCCGATTCCTTCGGAAGCTCAACGGATGAACCAGGTAGGATGGTATGTCACCAGAAACCCGTACATATGGTGAAATCCATCTATGTACCGAACTGATTGCCTCGGATATTAGAAACGAGTTAGCTGCGTCGTGATAATATCGTTCTTATACCTCTCTCTCTGCCGTGCGCGGTGCTGCTGCTGCTGCCGCAGGCCACCCTGAGCACAAGCAATAGTAAGAGCCCCATAGCCAAACTTTGGGTTGCTGCTGCGCAAGAGCTGTTCGAGCTGACTTGAATGAAGAATGTTGCGATTCTGAGTGAAACCCGTCAGTATATGGTCAACACCTAGCAATCTGGAGAAAATGCGGGACTTACCGGCCGCTTGATACGAAGGATCGAATAAGCAACTCTTCTTAAAATCAGAGTAGATGCAATTGACACATGCGCGATGGTTACGCGCACGATCTGACCGGTCCGACATTGCCACACATTCGGCGGAGTGGCCCTTGCCCTCCCGACACGGCACACAGGCTTCTTCTCCCTGGTAGAGTTGGCCCCTCTGCTGGAGGAGTTTGCTCTCCCGGTGCGATAACCGTGGTCCCGCTGGGTCGGTTTCGGGGTTTATAGGAGATTGACCGCATCTGCAGCGGCATTCGGGTCGGGATGAAAGTCTCCGTCCACCACGGGAGCAGTCTCCTTCTTCCAAGTTGGGCCTGATTGTTACCTCCCGTGGCCACGGCTTTGGCGAAAAAGTTGGTGATCATTTTGATCTACTGCCGAATACCCTCAATGTTGATGTGAAGGCAATTGTAGTTCAATAGATTGATCTGCGAACGGCTTAGTGGCAGCAGTAGTTGTTTTTAGTAATGGTGGTGGTGATGGTGGCTTTTGTGCTTTACGAGTAAAAGCAATGGAGGTGCTCGAGTGTGCATCTATACGAGTAACGCTCGGACAGCTGAAACCTGTATAGCACAGCCCCTTTGGCGAGTCTCGTTTGGTCCAACGTGGTCATGAGCCCATATCGACACTTGTAAGAGTCCATATAGGCAGCCAATTGACCTATACTGTCCGTTAGCAAAAGTGCCCGGTTTATGGCTATGAGATACCCTTCCAATCAGCACTCCCAAGTCTTTACCATGTTTCAAAGAAGCTGGGTTCCTCTTCATCATGTGTGAGGTTGTAAGTCCCGGAACCGCTGTTTGCCACACTCAGCTTGCCGACGCAAATGCTCTGGAGTATGGATGGCTCCTCTAGGAGCTGCGGCTTTCGCCTTGGTCTTAGGCCTTGGACGCGGTTCCGGGAAATTCTATTTCAGATTTATAGTACGGCCAGTACGGCCAGCACATTAAACTCTGATGATCAGTGCCAGAAGAACCTCGCCCTTTCGAATTTCCGATCCACCTGTTCATATATTGTTTGAATCGGTGGTGTCGATTCATAAACTCCTGCTTTGAAGACCTACAGCGGCCACGGTTCACGAGCCTTATGTTAAGAAATACCTGATCTCTGTCTTCCGAGAACATGATTATGGGCAGGTCGGCAACCAGAATTAGGTATATCTCGATTAACTCGTTGTAAACTGCCGCATTGCACAAGCATATATTAACAAGAGGCGTCGGTGGAAGGGTCCTGATGCATCTTTCGTTTCAACGTAGTAGGTAAGTTTGATTATGGTCTGAAGCTGCATTTCTGATGTTTCGAGCATCAGACCAGACCAGGCTTCCAAATCTTGTTGAACTCCTCTTACCTGTGGAGGTCTTTATACTATTGGTTCTTGGCCTCTGTGGAGTTTTTTTGGGTTGAAGGTCATTGGAGTTGACTTGTTGAGCCGGATTTCAAGACTTCCAATGGGTCACTGTTGGAATGTAGACCTTATCAAGTATGGCTACTGCCAGTTCAATAGTCTCAAGTGTAGAAGAATTCAAAAGGATCTAAGTTCGATGGAGATAGGTATGTTGGTTGGGATGTGGAAGGATGGTTCGTGGAGGAGGAAGGAGAAGTTGTTGACAGCGGGGGGTATCATCTCTTAGGGTTCCATTGAATAAAAGGCGCTCTGGATGATAGAGAATCTTAGAATCTACATTGTGAATATGGTTTGTCAATACGGGTGATTCAATGTACCAATAATTAAATGAACATCGCTCAAGATTCCTCAATTCAGCCCAGTTCGGTTCAACCTTTATTAACCTAAGGAGCCTGTCAAGACTCCAGTGAATACAGCTCAATACGCATCACTGGTTGATTGGACTTTTAGCCTGGACAGGGCGCACTTCGTGATCCTGAGACAAGCCCTCTCTGGTCTTCTGGTCAACATCATTTTGTATCTTCTCTTCATCATGCGCATCGCCATTTTCCAGAAGTCGCCGCGCAGACTCATCCCCTTCCAATCCAGCAACACGCTCATTATGCAGGCGCTCTTGCTCCTGCTTTCTATCCTTGACCGCCAACGCTGCCTCCTCCCGAGCCACTTCGTCAGCATCGATACTCTCTAGACCCACCACGCCTAGGATGCGTCCAACCAGGAACTGGTACCGCAGATGGCCGCTGATAAAATCGCTGGCGTCCACATTTTCCACCCCTGACACACTCTGCACAGGCTGTAGACCAGCAACACCCAGCTGAAGGCTGCTGGTTCGGTACAGTAGAGCGAGAACGGCGTCGTTTTCAGAGTACACATTAACCAATCGACCACTGACAACACTGCGTAGACGACGCCAGTGAGGTGCGTTAGACGGAGTAGGTGAGCCCATGAGAACCGCCGACTCCACTAAGCCGAATGCCTGCCGCTTGGCGAGAGTCTGTAGACAAGAAAAGATAACCCGGGAGCCCATCGAGTACCCGATCAGCGTGACAGATCTTTCGCCCTGTACTTTGCTGATCAAGGCATCCGCAAGTGCCTCACCGGCCTTATCCGCACGAGCCTTGGCCACGCTGAATGGGTTGTCCGCAACGCGGGCAACCTTCAGTAGCCCCAGGGGTAGCATGACTGCGCTCATAATCTGAGCAAAGATGGTGCGAGACAAGACTTGGCCTCCAGCTGCCCAGGCAGCACTCGTGACGAGATAGTTCATGGCGTTGCCGAGTTTCATCAATGGCTTCCTTTCCCAGCGTAGACCGAATACTTCTGACTCGCTGCCAACCACTTTCCACGGGACAACATAATTTTCTTCTTCCGTAACCCAGCCTGAGATGCCGATTGTGACTCGCAGCATATGATCGTTTTCGGCTGCCTCCCTCTCGTCCTCCGACCTTTGATGGGTACCACGAATAGGCAGGAAGGCGAAGTCGTCCACTTCTCGCGCATACTTGTCGACCATGCGGCCCGTCATGCGGCCTCCGTAGGCACCAAAGAGCCCTCCGACGATGACACCACTACCAGCCAACGCGCCCAAGTAGCCAGCAGCGGCTGTGGCGCCGAGGCCAAGCCCACCCAAGACTGTGCCAAGACCAGCCGCAACGAGAGGCGCGGCGAGCCCGCCCGTGATGCCGATCAACGCGGCTCCTGCAACAGATGCTATTCCTACCTTCCACTTTCTAGAAGAATCGCGATGCTTCCCGGGTTCTTTGGCTTCAGCTTGAGAAAGCTGAAGAGCTGTGTCGAGCAATCCCCGCGCGACCTTGACCTCGTCTCCATTAAGGATCTTGACGTCAAGGTTTAAGGAAGACGATACGTACAGCATCAGCACCCGTGAGCGAGCATTGTAGTGCTCCAGACTCAGCATTAACAGTAGCAACGAGTGTAGGATCAACAACTTCTTCGCTCTGGGCAGGTGCACAAGAGGCGTTTCGACCGGGGGATACACCTCGCGAAGTTTCTTCAAGGCAGTCTCATCCTCCTCAAGTCGTGGCTCGGGCAGTTCTCGCGATGAGTCGCCTTGGCTGGATTCAGTCTGAGCATCATCGTCCCGATTTACTACTTCCCCGATCCGGAGCAGGACGGTATCTCTCCAATCATCAAAGCCCGCGAGAGCTTTGGCCTCGAGTTGAAGGTCCTTGGTCGAAGTCTTAACCTCCGATGGAGCACGATCGTTTGAGCTTTCGTCCTCGTGATGTTCAAGAGGATCAAACAAGGAGTCCGTATCTTCCTCGTCCTCCTCATGTTTAGAGAAGTCATGTGTAGTCTCCTGGACGGCCGGAGGAGCGACATGGAAATTAGCGACAATGCCATTTCGCATATGCTCGATGGCCTCCGCGACCAGAACAGTCAAGTCAGCGCGCTGCGGGCGGTCGAGGATGGTTGTCAGATCTGCTCCGCGGTCGCTCGGGGACGGAGCAGGCGGCGTCGCATGGCTCGACCCGAATTTGCTAGCATGTTTCTCTTTGAACGATTTCCACATGATCGCGGATGACCACAGTCGGAGATTTACATCAATTGCTGCTAAGAGGTGTCTTACAAGGTGCAATCACGTAGGCATCAGTGAGTGAGACAGAAATCAGGAGGTCGCCGCTTGCAGCGGATATGAGATCACGGCTGACTCAGCGCCCAGACTGCCCCCGGTTATTTCGAGCAGCTGAAACAGTCACGTATGTCACTCTTAAGTTGAGAATCAACCTTCCAGCGTGCGTGCCAAGTGCCCGATTTTGGTCTCTTTTCTCCCTTAGAAAGAAGCGCTTAGTTTTTGGTGTCCACAACGAAGAATTTGCCTTTGGTCTTGGAAGCATATGCGAGGGCGTTTCCATCCCAGATGTCTCCGTCCGGTCGCTCGTTCCTTTGCGATTCAACTCGTTGGATCCTCTTGTTGCGTCCGACAACTCGTTCCTTGGACAAGGCTTCTTTGAGCTTTTCCAGACCAATCGTGTTTTCCTTCACCGCTTCAGGAGTCTCGTCGCGGATGCTTTGTAGAGGTTCAACGCCGCTGGCATCGACGCGCTGGATTTGCTTCACAAAATGGATCTGAGACTCCAGAGTGTCGAGCATTTTTGTCTCTTCTTCCTCGTTCGCGGGTTGAGGCAGTGCAGACAAGCGGAGCAGATGGCGAAGCTGTTCGGGAGTCACCGAGGGGGTGGAGGGCTTATCGGTCTCGTCGGGAAGCAGCGAGCGGACAGACCAAGTCGGCTTGGCAAGAATAGCGTCAATGTCATCTTGTCCTTGAGGCTGGGAAGTAGAATATGAGCGATGTTTGGCGACGAGGGAGCGCGGAGATTGACGTCGCAACAAGGCGGATAGCCGTGAGCTGCTGTTGCGCAAGAACATGTCGGTCGTGATGGTGAGTGCGAAAGACGTTGCCCAAGTAGTAGGTCAGATTGAACAATGTAGTAGACACGTTTGCCAATTGTAAAAGCCAAAGCGAGAGATAAACAAGCAAGGCAGGCTGGAGATTGAGTGAGTTCCAGTGAATTGCGGTGGAGGAAGGGAAGAGAGCAAAAAGCACAACAAATTGTGGCTGTCCTCCAATGAAAGGGCGGGACAGCCCACCGCCTACGTTGATGTGGAGGGAAGCTCTTGATCCCGCCGCTGTTAGTGACGGCAACCTTGAACGCTTCAGTTCGCCCTCCATCTTCTCCTCATCTTGCTGGCTGAGCCACCTTCATCTTTCCAATATCCTTTATTCGCTCTAGCTTGAATATAGCTTCTGCTTTTGTCTGTGGTAAATAAGTTTCAACTGTTCAGCATGGCTCAAGATCCCCGAGTTCTTCTCCAAAAAGTAAAATCTCCTTATCCCCCCCGCCCCGCTGTTCCTCAACGTTATCACAACCCGACTCCAAATGAATGACGATCACTGATTCCATGCTCCTCCACTCTTTAGGCTGATCAAGCGCTGAGTCGCGCATCTGGTGGCTTTAGCTTCTTTGGCGGTCGCACAGAAAAATATGAAAATGCAGCCGACTTGTACTCGCAGGCTGCGAATGCCTTCCGAGTTCAGAAGCAGAGTAAGCAGCCTCCGCACCCCGTTCCCTGTCGCTTTACCTCCACCCTGACACTAACGCCCTCCTCCCCATTTTCAGACAAGGAAGCCGGTCTTGCATTTGAAAAGGCCGCATCTATTCAGGCGCAGAACCTCAACGAGCCCGATGACGCTGCCAACACCCTGACCGAAGCCTTCAAGGTCTACCGCAAGTCCGACCCCGAGGACGCCGCCCGCGTGCTCTCCAGCGCCATTCAACACTACGTGCTCAAGGGAAACCTCCGTCGCGCTGCGTCGCAGCAGCAACATCTGGCCGAAGTGTATGAGGTGGAACTGGGTGACAACAAGAAGGCCCTGGAAGCCTATGAGAAGGCGGCGGAATGGTTTGAGGGTGATAATGCTGAGGCGTATGTTCTACCTTTCAGGGTTGGAGCGTTCGGGCCATCTCTCCGGCAGGGCTAATCATGCAAATTCAGCCTCGCGAACAAGCACTACCTCAAGGCCGCGGATCTGGCCGCCCTCGAGGGTGACTACTACAAGGCCATCGAGCACTACGAGCGCATCGGCCGCTCATCCATCAACAACAACCTTATGAAGTGGTCGGTCAAGGACTACTTCCTCAAGGCTGGTATCTGCCACCTGGCGACGAATGTTGGTTTACTGTCAACCCCTTACATCCTCAACTGCCTAACATCGAAAATAGGACTTGGTCGCCACCAACCGTGCTCTCGAGAACTACCGCGACATCGACACCACCTTCGCCTCCACGCGTGAGCACCAGCTCCTCGTCGACCTGGTTCAGGCCTGTGAAGCAGGTGACCAGGAAGCTTTCGCCGACAAGCTTTTCCAGTACGACCAGCTCAGCAAGTTGGATAAGTGGAAGACGACGCTCCTGCTGCGGATTAAGAACAATATTGAGTCGCAAGAGGAGGACTTTTCTTAGCGCCTCGTTTGCCTTCTTTTCTTTGTCCTCGTTCTTGTTTGAGCTAGTTATTTGGTTTTGAAATACTTGATAAACCGAGGAAAGGTCACCTCTCCTGCTTTCGAGTTCCCAATCGCATCTCAAGTGTTTACTTCTTTGGCTGGTTCCATGCTTATTAGATACATGCCGCGCTGTGCCTATCACGCTCCATCATTGCGAATTATTATTATTGAAGGTTATTTTGTTTCTACCGATCGACCCCATATAGCATCATTTTGACCCTGACTGTGCTCGATGATTGTTGACCTCATCTATATTTTATATCGTCCCTCCATGAGAATGATGTCAATGAGATCATTAGGCATTGATCAGCATCACTACAGATTAAATGGCCCACTGGGGTAATTCATATTAGTGACTTCAAAACCCTGGTAGAACAAGAAAAAGTATCACTGACAAAATAACAACCACTAGCGGGGTCCACCCACGGCATCGGACTCTCCACTGGCGGTACCGCATCCACACTTATTCATCTTCGCAAGCCTGACACTCTTTATAATCCATAAAATCCTAACCATCCCATTTCTAGCCACTCTTATCAACAGAATCCATAAAGCGTCTCAGCTACACATTATCTCATCAGCTACAGGAGCGAATCCAATCATTATATGCAAGTGCTCAATGAGATTATGCAACCATATAACATCAAACCGAAAAAGTCACGGTCCCACATACGATTCTTCGCAACTGGTGGATCTACCCGCGATTTTGTAGCTTGCAATCTCCACTGACCAGTCTGACAGACGATATATCTTTCTCGAAAGTTCTGGCGCTAAGCATAGAGAAACACAGGTGACAGAAGCTAGGGCTTCCCGCTTACCCAAGGCATCTTTGAACTATCCCCGGGACCCAGCCGAGCATGGAAATACACAACTCCAGTGCAAGATGAGTACACTCTTTTCGAGTATGTTTGTTGCTACACAATTCTAATTTTGATTAAATCAAAGGGCAGACTCCTTGTTATACTCGACCCGAGGCAGTCACATATGCGATGTAATTATGTGTATTCCCTAATTGTTCTAATAGTCCTAAGAATTCTAGGAATCCTAATGTAAGTAGTAGCTAGATAGTCCCTGATCTATGTAAGTACTCGATCTCAAGATGATGTGGAATGAAAAGCCCTTACAGATACAGTATCAAGGTGGTGTGGCAATCACATCATAGATTTAGTGGTTTTTGTTCCGCGCGACCCTAAAAAGCAACATAGCTTAATCCATAGGGTGAGCCCGTGCTCGCCTTCCTGTTCCATGGTACAACACCAGCGGCCGTTCGCATTCAACCACTACAAGCCGAATGAAGCACTTACTCCTCGTGCCAGCCCAGACCATCTACTGCACAGTCCTCGCGGATCCAGAAAGGTCTATATACCGCTCAAAGCTCCAGTAAATCCTTCCAAACCTCCCTACCCCTTCGCCATAACCCCGAACTCGAGAACTCAGATTAGACTTGAATCAACGCATACCACCGGGAATCAAGATCATGCTTCCTGACCGATACCTCCTCGCCATCCTGGCCGCAGCAGTGGCAGCCACGACCTCGATGGTAGCCCCAATCCCAGAATTGAATTAACGCGATACGCCCGTGACCTGTGCGGCAGGGGAATCCGTCAAGTGCTGCCCGGTGTTGCATTCGACGGTGGTGCTGGGGAAGCCGCTGACTGTCGGAGTGGGGTGCACTCCTTGTATGTCTCTTCTTAAGGTCATTGTTATAGGATAGAGTTATGGGGTGAAAGATGGCTGAGTTTCTGGCACAATGAGCGGCAGTTCGTCTTGCAAGACGAATGTGGCATGTTGTCATAATGAGCCGGTATGGTCGTGGCTTTCTTTTCAGGTAAGGGGTAAGGATGTTATTATGGTGTGTAGTTTGTTGTTGGGTTTTTGAATGTTTGCGCGTAGGGCAGTGGGGGCTCTGGTGTTGGAACTGGCACTGGCGGGGGCGGCGGTCGTAGGAAGTAAAGATAAAAGATGTTTAAAAGTCGTGATCGTTGTAATTGCGACAAGAGGAACACAAGCATAGAGGTAGTATATGCTTGTGTACCGTCCGCATATTTGATGGATCCGCAACACTGTAGTACCAGGTTTTGGATCAGGTATAGTAACTATGAGCATGACTGACTGACGACCCTCGGAACCGGTTTCCGTCTGATGTAAACAACCCTGCCCATCCATCATATTCAGTACACCTGCCTATCGAGGAGAATCGCGATAAATGCACTACGTTATTCACCTCTTGCCAGGCCGCTACAGATTCACCCTCCCACCATCCGCTGGTCCCTGGCAATTACGGAAACAGGAACTTATATTCCTTATCACGGCATAATCAATGAGATTATGTTGCCATACGACACTACGGTAAAGCAATCTCTTAGCTTTGCAAGCTCGGGGCTATTGGCATTCAGCGGACATACCCTCCACCGTTCAGGTTCACTGGTGGTTGTACTTTTCTCGGAAATTTTGTCTGCGCGCATAAGCGAACCGGATGCAGAAAAGGATAGCGCTCGCAGAACGGTTGCATGTATCATGTCAAACACCCATCAAAAGATGATCGTTGACTACTAAGCAAAACCGAGGACTTCAGGGACAGATTCGGGTCTTACACGAGTACTGGAGTCTAGTGGCACATTTCAGGTAGAGCAAAACTAAGCTCATCTTCCCTACTCCCTGTCTTGTCCTGCGGTGAGTCGTAAGTCCTGAGCCGGTCTCTTCGGTTTCTCGTTTTGTTCATCTGCTCGGCTGCATATGCTTTCGACTATAGGTGGTTCCGGGCGGTCAGAGCAGCTCTCCCTTGCACAAAGGGGTGAATGATCCTTGCTGCAGCTGAAATCACGATAGACTCCATCGATCAATGATAAGAGATGGTGCTCCCGTCTTTGGCCAGGCCGGAAAGTGCATGAATGATTTGTCCCAGGATCTGTTTCCCGCGATCTGAAACATGGCACAGAAGGTAAAACATGCCACACACCGTGATACATCGAGCTTGCAGTGGCGAAGGCCCTGCATATTGACTCGTCTTGTTGGCTAGTCCTACGCTAAGATGTTCCTGCAAGGATCATAGTTGAAGATATGTTGACAGGAATCTCGTATTCAACGGATCGCACTCGAAGGCCGTAGCTTGGGGTGTGACTTACAGTCATGTCTGACACAGGCTGTCTTACCTGGGACGATCAAGTTGACCGGTGTGGTCTAGAACCATCAGAACCACCGCCAACCCGAACCATCTCTGGAATTCCTTTCCCGGCGGTTCTCAATCATCATTAGGCAGGCTTATCCTTCGAACACAGTCACAAGATCATTTGCGCGGTATGGGTGAATGTATCCGTCAAACCGAAACTATGATTCATGTCCCGGCCAACGAAAAGGGAGTGCTTTTATCGTTTTTCGCATAAAGGTGTGTTGCACAGCTCTTCAGCTCTGGACCCAGCAAAATACAGATCGACTGAGACAGATCTTCTCGATGATCATAAAATGCAAACTCCACGTTCTCACTCAGAACATTTGTTAGTTCAACTCTCTCAACTACTACACATCAAAAGCTATCTGGATCTTTCATACTAAAAAAAGTCCTTCGCTTACCCCGAAGGCGAATGCTTCTTCAAGCGGTCCGCGATCCTCCTCCACCTATGACCCGGACAAGCCGGAGCATTTCTACGGCCACCTCCTGGTGGAATATATCTGCAACCGCGCTGCATTGAGTGACGACTCGGCTTACTACACGAAGGACGTCCATTACCATCCACGCTCCGCCTACCAGGTAGTCAAGGGCGACTGGTGGGACACCAAATATGGAAACTGGACGAATAACCACTTCTTGTACGGGAAGAAGCCCTACAGTGATACAGAAAGGTATCGGAAAGTGGAACACAACCTCTGCGTGAGCGGGAATCGGTTCCGCGACCAGGACAAAGGGGGTGCGCTTGAGTCCTGGTTTATGATCCTGCCGATGCCCCTGTTAGCCAAAGAGGAGGAGTGGTTTCTGGTTGATGTATGTAGCACATTTTCCTTTCCTGATGGTGAGGAGGAGGAGGAGGAGGAGAAGGAGGAGGAGATTGAGAGCTTCTGTCCGAGGTCAAGAAATCTCTCAATGAACATGAACTCCCATTTTCCAGCGCACAGCGTGCATCCGGGGGATCTACATCCCCATCGCACACCAGGCCTCGTAGGAATACCCGGACGTGTGCACATTCCCGCGGGTGAACTTCGCCATTTGTAAAAGAAACGGGGAAAAACCAGATACCTGTGCAATATACAGGCTGTGGATCCACTAACTCGGGCGCGCACAATAAACCGATGGGCCGAAAGCTAAGACCATTAGCCCCATATGGTGGTCCCCGCTTACTATACCTGCCTATAAGTTGCCCTCGATAGCCAGACTCCCTAACTTCAGTCTGTCATCTCTTCTGCACTCCTTCTTATTCCCCTGTCTATCCAATTACCAACTCATTCATCACCATGTCGCACTACCAATTCATCTCCCTGGCTACCAAGCCCTCCGCTCAGCTCAGCTACAGCTTCCATCCCGCCGTGGGCGCCGTCAAACAGCCCGCTCTAGTCGTCTTCGTCAACGGCCTCGGGCTCTCGCAGACCGCCTGGGAGGGCGTCATCGCGCGCCTGCAGGCTCAGCCTCCCGCCGCCGGCCTGCCAGCGATGCTAACCTACGACCGGTACGGCCAGGGCCAAACCACCGACCGAGACCCCACCGACAGCACCGCCGAGGACCCCACGCACGGCCACGACACATTAACCGTTGTCCGGGACTTGCGCCAGCTACTCACACAAGTGGCCGCGGAGAAGATGGGCGTCTCCAATCTCAGCGAGCTACCGCTCATCCTAGTGTCCAACTCAATTGGCGGCGCACTGGTCCGCCTTTATGCACAAAAATACACCGGCACCGTCGCCGGACTCCTGTTCCTGGACAGCGTGCTCGCCAACTCTGACTTCGTCTCCATCTACCCGGACCCAGATGCACCCGACTTTAATCCGAGCAGCTTACCAGAAGGAGTAGACGAGGATGCGATCCGCGCCGCAAGAGCTTACATGCAACGGGTCTTCCACCCCAGCAACGGCAGCCGCGAGGGTCTGAGCCGGCGCAACCTGGTGCAGCTCTTGCCGGACAGCGACGGGCCCAAGTTGCAGGGCCCGGACGGCCGCGGGCCCTGGGTGACGGTGGTGGGCCACGAGTTCGCGGCGTTTGAGGTTGAGTTCGAGAAGATGGGCGGCGCGCCTCCGCGGCTCACGCAGGTCTACATGAATCCCTACTGGCATCGATTCAATGAGGGGCTGGCGAGGCTGACCGACTCGGAGCGGAGCAAGGGTCCGCTTCAGGCGCCGGGGGCCGGGCACTTTGTTCAGAAGGATAATCCGGACTTTGTTGCGGATGAACTACGTGAGATGCTTGGCAAGGTCCTTTGAGATGTGCATAGGATTGCAACTGCTGAGTGTGGTGGCATCTTTTGCTTTGTATCTTACTCGGTACAAATTCAGTCTGCCGCTGGCGGGGGCACTGCTTTTACCCCCGCTTTTTCTTCTTGACCCGCTTTGTGCGGCTGAGCTTGAATTCTCACTAGCTGAGAGGCCTGTAGCTTACGCCAATCGCAGTTTGTCGACTGATGTGAGTTGGTTCTCAATGCTACAGTTTTAGTAGGAGTACTAGAGTACTAGTATCCTAGTAGCCCTAATCGGCTGGACCAATCGTAGGCCCCAGGCACGTCCGCACGGCAGGACCCGACTTAGGGCTCGGCGGTCATCGAGTAGCTCGGACGGGTTGAATGACATCTTCCGGCTGATGAATATCAATTATACCGTCAGAGATTATGGTCCTACTATCGTTCTATTCCAAGTGCAATTCATTCCTCTACGGACAAATCGTAAAAGAAACGGGGAAAAACCAGATACCTGTGCAAAAGTTGAGGCAGCTACAACCTGCTGCCCGGTTTCGGGTTCACGGACCAGTTTTCGGTAGCGGTGATATATACCTTCCTAAACGCCCTCTTAGTGACGATGCTACAGATAGCCATAACCTCCAACACTACTCCATGTCATCGTTGTCTGACCATGAACTCTGGCGATAGTGACGATTTTGTACCTCCCACAAACAAGGCTTAGAAACATTTCCTCGGTTAAGTACTTACCCCGGAGCGGAATCGCGGTGATATGAGTTAATCTCAAAGGTAGCGCTATTTTCATGTCAAGTTTTCTCAAATCTCGAGCGTCAAGTCATCTTGGATTTTGGCGTTCTCGCAGACTGTGCCTAAATCAAGTGACCCTTGTCTTGGCGAGTCGACTATAGCGAAGTAGGCATAACGATTAAGCTTGCATCATAAAGGTAGGGGCCATTGGGCGACTTCGTTCAACCAACTATATTTTGGTTTCAAGATTGTACAGCTTGCAATATGTGTTCTACAGGAGATCAAGGAGCTAGAGTATTTCTGTCATAGACCCGGTAATTCTACTATCTGACAATAAGCTTAACAAGATTTGACTGCTTGTGGTACTCCTTCTGATTTGTTGCGAAATTCTGGTCAACAGAACCCGATGGTTCAATTCCTCAACTGTACTATATATAGTCTGAAAGACCGATGTGATTAGTACAGATTACAAGCAACATAAAGCTTGACAATGGCGACCACTCTCTGGTTCATAGTAGGGAGAAATCTAAATCTGGTCGTCCAGGGACTAGCGCAGGCTCAATCTCCCAGGTTGACTCCATGCGAAACAACGTAATGTCAAGGCTAAAGGGAACGAATCGACCCTGCTCAGTCAGCGCCCAGGAGAAGAGCTATCACTGTTGTGTGTTTTGATTGATAGACGAAGAATAGCATTGTGGATGAAGCAAGGGGGGAGACCCAACTCTCGGGTACCTGACCGAACCCAAATAGCCAACTTCTATCGTCCGCCAATTAAATTCTTATTTCTTACACTTACACATACCAGATGGATTGACAGATGCGCGGTTGCTGGGGTACCCTGACCCTCCACATTCTCGATACCTGGTCTTCCGGGCAACAACCGCAAAGCCACCCGAGGGGTGGACGGTTATATCTCGAGATCCACGCATTCCTTAATCTTTTCGAGGGAAAGATGTCCCAAAATTAGATCGGATGTTGTTGAGAGGACAAAGGATGTATGATTCTCGAATTCCACACCGGTAGCCTCAAAGGCTTGAGTTCAATGTAAGCCCTGCGAGAATTCTGGAAAGAGGAAGATTTAAATGCCTAGGATTGCCCGGGTTAACTTTGTGCAACCAAGAACTACGCCTCGTCTCCTATCATCAATACTATAATCACCCTCAACACTTCGCCATAACCCAATCGACGATCGTTGCAGAGTCCAAAATCAACCACCAATATGCGCACCTCATTTGTAACTCTCCTGCTCGCATGCAGCAGCTACACTGCGCTCGCTTTGCCCTCGCACGGTAGCCTCGCCAAGCGATCATGCGACTCCAACGTCTGTATTGTTCAGGCAAGTCGCCCTCTTCCTTCTCACAATCCCTCTAACCCCTCCGGCATTGCAAATACTAACCACCAGAGACAACAGTGTATTGCCCAGGGTTTCCAGTCCGGCATGTGCGCCAGCGAGAGCAACCCCTCCCTGCAACTCCTGGGCCTCGAGCTCCTCGGCCAGGCCTTGCCGTAAGCCAGCCCTCTCCCTTAAATCCCAAGACAACATCCTGGATAGAACTAACAAAGCCAACAGAGGCTGCATGTGCATCCCCACCAACGGCGATTCCAGCGGCGCCACCAACGCCCCCGCCGCCGCCGCCCCCGCCGCGAACGCGCCGGCTGCCACGATGACCACCACTGCTACTGTAACTACCACCTCAACTGCCGTCCTGACTTCCACTTCCACCGCGACGACGACCGTCACCACCACTGCCACAGCCACTAACACCCAAGCCGCGAATCAAGCAGCCCCAGCAGTAAACCCCCCGGCCCCGAGCACCGTCACCGTCACCGCCACCGTCACCAAGACTGCCACCGAAAAGGAGACAGAAACAGAAACGCAAACGCACACGCAATTTGACACCCGCACCATCACTCACTCTGCCCCTACCGCCACCGTGACCAAGACTGCCACCGAAAGGGAGACAGAAACAGAAACGCAAACGCACACACAATTTGACACCCGTACCATCACTCTCTCTGCCCCTACCGCCACAATCACTAGTACTACCTGCGATGCAAATGCAGCGGCTGCTCCTGCGGCGGCCGCCGCCGTTCAGACCGTGTACACGGCCACCACGACGAACCATATCCCGTTTACGACGACGAAGACGGTAGTGGTCAAGACGACGACGACCGTTTGCCCGACTTCTTCTTAGTTTCTGTTTTTTTGATGGGGGGTGTGAAAATGGGTGTGGGTTCTCTTCGATATGGATTCTTTTAATCATTCTTTTTTTTCCCTTGTGGGCTACGCTCAGAAAAGGAGGGGGCTTTTCTCTTCATTGTATATAATTGCTGCATCCACTTCCCTCAAGGATAAGACTTTTAATGGGAATATCATCTTCCCGCGCTTGATTCACCTTTGCTCTCTTTCCACATGTGCTGGTCTAGAAACCTTCTTTATGCAACACTCTCAACATAATTCACCCATGGACCTATATCTGTTTGTCACAGCATCGCTCGGCCCTCGTCGATGCTCGCGTCTGCAAAGCCATAAACAAGTAGACCAGCGCCGCGTACAAGCTAATCACGAGAATCACGAGGAATCCTGCCCCGGTGCTGGAGCTTGCAGAAAGACCCGCGGTGTACAGCTTGCACCGTTCGATGAAGAGCCGTTGGAGGCGATTGATCACCCCGGGTACGATGCAAATTCCCCACGGAACACTGTAGAGAGTCTGGGTTGCAGATCGCTGACGGTATCGCCGATATTCCAGTGCGTGAAGCCGTTGGAGATCCGAGTCCGATTATGAATGAGCATCCCATTGGAGATGTACCCGGCGTCGCGGAACAGGGGCAAGATCCATCCGCCGCAGAAATAACCTTGATTGGATACAGAAGCGGTGTCGAATTATCCAAACCATCGTTCTCTATTGGTCCTTTATAGTGCGCCGTGTGGACCACTGACTCGAGCTCGCGCGTGGTTTCAGCATATTCGGGTGGGTCGAGCAGCCAGACCCGCGCCCAATCCTCGCCGGGACTACTGGCGTTCGAAGTAGTCCTTCACATTCGCACAATTCTTACCGATATCACCAATATAGGGCAGTGTGTCTGCCCTTCTTCAATGGAAGCAGCTGGTAGATGACTGATGAATGGTTACTAGTACGCCTTGTCTAGCATCCGCGAGCTTTCTTAGAAACCGTACTGCGTTGTACGATGCTTGGCCATCTGGACCGGAAGTTGGCTCATGAGGAAGTGAAAATTTTCGGTTTCTAAACGAGCTCGACCCTAATCGTGACGTGCTTTCGTTGTTCCCACGTTGAGGCTATGCCCGGTGCCAAGACTGTCAACCAATGTGTTGGCAATAGGTTGCGAGGCTTAGGTGGGGCCCAGAGTCTCACACTACGCTGAATGCTCTGCTGCAAACGGCATTGGTGGTTTAATGTACTGTAGGGTGGTCATGCAGAAGAGGTCGTATTACGGGTTGGTCCAATGGACCAGAGCCCTTTAGCCTAACGAAGTTGCTCGAACTGCTCATGGAGGGAACCGCATTTGCCACAGCGTGTTCTATTCACGTTGTGAACTAGCGGGGGACTGCGACGTGACAGACACTTCTACGGTAGCGTGAGACGGCCAGCTCTGGAACATCCCGTATGGGACAGTCTATTTTGCTCCCAATATACACATCAACTGTCGGTCCAGTACCATTGATGCAATAATTCATTTTGTTGCTCCACTGTTTGAGTTCTAGTTAAGGGCTCTATCAACGCGCTGATTTGATCTGCAGTAATATTGATGGCTTGACATCGCTTGGGGATAGAGCTTGTTGAATCGCGAGATAGGAGGATACGTATGCCAGTAAATATACAGGGCCCGGCTATGACATGCTAATTGACATTACATATGGAACAGTAACAACCGAAAACGACCAGTCTAATCACTTCCACGGTTGTGGCATCGTAAGCCTCGTGTCAATCATTAAGGTTATCTTGGTTCATCGCAGCACCTGACCCATGGTAATGTGGACATAGCCCTAGCCGTCCAGACTCCCAAGCCCGCAGGATTCGTCTTCAGCAGCCCCACATCGGTCGATCGTTCGTTCTCGACCGTTGCACCATTTCTTGGCATTTTCTTCACCTTTACCACCCAAAGCCCAGAAAAGAAAGCCTATTCCACATGCGTGGAGAAACCATGAACATGGAGGGTTCGGGGTCGTCTAGGGCGGGGCGCGGGAAGATCGACGAGTGGCTGCGATTTCCGCTCCTCGCACAGTGACAGCCTGTCAGGCCGCCAAGGAGCCTGTCAAAACCAATGACTTGCAGCTTAGTTCGCAAGCTAGGACTCCCAAGTTGCGTCCTATACATCTTTCTTTGTTTCCTACCCTTAATCCTCACTCTTGTGATGCAATATGACCGATACCTACATCAATGGTTTTCGTATCCGTGTAATCAAGAATGGTTCATGGAAACTTTACAGGTGGCCTACAAAATAGTAGGAGAGGCCTTTTTTTAGACCAAAGCCCAAGGGTTATCAGTATTAAACATCGTGTTGTATATCGTATCATATTATGTGTTGTATATCGTATTGTCTACTCTGTCGTATATCGTGTCGTATGCCAAGAGAGTATCAGAGGATGTGAGCCATCTGCTTTTGGATCCTTCCTTGATTCTAGACCTGTTAAATGGATATTATTGTCCCGAGCGACAGATTTGAAGCCGCGGCTTGTCATTATAAAAGCGGTGCAGATAGTCCTTCTGCGACTTTAGGCGATACAGTCTGTAACATCAACAAGCAAGAATAGCACTGAATTACCTTCAATATGAAGTCCGCACTCTATTTCCTCGTCGTGCTGCTGCAGCTTGCTATGCAGCTAGCAGTGGCCAACCCAGCTGCACACCCAGAGCCTGACTCTCCCTCTCTGGAAGAGAGACAGGCGACCTCTCCCCTTGCGACCAGCTTGCCTGGACCGACCAGCTTGCCTGGACCGACTACCGCCGCTGGGACGACGGCCCCTGCCTCCACCCTTACTTCCCTCTCGCCTGGCACGACTCGCACCGCCAGTGTGACTACCTCTCCCCATACTTCCAGCTCGCCTGGTACAACTAGCACTAAGTCTGGGGGCTCCAGCACATCTGGCACGGCCTCCAGCACATCTGGCACGGCCTCCAGCACATCTGGCACGGCCTCCAGCACATCTGGCAAGGCCTCCAGCACATCTGGCACGGCCTCCAGCACTTCTTCTGGGGCTTCCAACAAACCTTCCCCAACTAGCACCCCTACCGCTATCCCTGCAGTCTCCCCTGGCCCAGCGACCACTGCTGTTGTAAATGTTATCGTCATCGCCAACTCTGGCGGCAGTGGAAAGGATGCAGCCGCCGCAGCTGCGAAAGCCGCAGCCTCTGGAGGAAAGAATGCCCAAGCTGCCGCCGTTGCCGCCGCTGCCGCTGCCGCTGGTGGAGGTAGTGCACAGGATGTCTCTGTGGTTGCCGCCGGCGCCGCTGCCGCCGCCTCTGGTGGTGACGGAGGGGCCGTCGCTGATGCCATTGCTGCTACCGACGACGCCACTGGCGGAGGGAGTGATGCTGCTGCCGCTGCCGCCGCTGTTGCCTCCGCTGGTGCGAGTGGATGGAACGTTGCCGCCGTTGCTGCCGGGGCCGCCGCCGCGGCCTCGGGTGCTAGCGGAGCGGACACCGCCGCCGCCGTTGCTGCTGCCGCCGCCAACTCCTGCGGAGGGGGTGTCGCCTCCGCGGCCGCCGCAGCCGCCGCCTCCGCTGGGGGCGGTGGAACGGACGTCGCGGTCGTTGCCGCCGCCGCGGCCGCCGCATCCGGTGGGGCAGATGGCAAGGCAGTCGCCGACGCTTGCACTGCGGTCTCCTCCTCCGCCGGTGGAGGAGGTGCGGCCGCCGCCGCCGCTGCCGCCGCCGCCTCTTCTGGGGCTAGTGGAGCCAATACCGCCGCCGCTGCCGCTGCCGCCGTCGCTTCCGCCTCGGGTGCCAATAAAGATGTCACCGATGCTGTCTCCGTCTCTCTCGTTGCTATTTGTGGTGGAGGCTTTGGAAGCTTTAGCCCTGATACTCCAAGTGGCACTAACACCACTGGATCCGGCGGCACTGGACCTGGCAGCACTAGTACTGTAACTGGCACTGCATCCGGCAGCACCCCTACTGTAACTGGCACTGCATCCGGCAGCACCCCTACTGGAACCGGCACTAGATCTGGTAGCACCCCTACTGGAACCGGCAGTGGATCTGGTAGCACCCCTACTGGAACCGGCACTAGATCTGGTAGCACCCCTACTGGAACCGGCAGTGGATCTGGTAGCACCCCTACTGGAACCGGCAGTGGATCTGGTAGCACCACTACTGGAAGTGCTGCAAAACGATTTTGGGATTACAAGGGTTCGAGACGCGCCCGCGGTTTCGTTGCTAGGGCCTAAACATGGCATATCCATCTAGTCTTCCTGCAAACTTCAGTGAGTTCTTGACGATTCCCAGGGCGGGTCCGTTACGATTGTCAGTGGAGTCCTGATTAATGAATCCAGATCTGCCGGTTCGGTTTTATCTCATCCTCTCTGAGCGTTGTTCGCTGATAAACCTCAGAATCATTCCCGGATAGAAAGCGGAACGAGGGGGACAGAAGACGGTACATTGATAGCAGTGGTGAGAAACAACAATCGTAACACATCAAACTGAGTAGCACCTATAATAGCTCCAAATTGGTCCTAACTCCGAAGAGCGTCAGGCTGTTTATGGTTATTCGTCCTTTGAATGCTCTTGAATATGGTTTCTGGCGTGTGGAGTACAAAATCTGCTTAAGTGTTATGAAAGTATAGTCAGTTAGGTTTCTTTGAATAACATAGCAATGAAACGAACTGGGCAAGCTTAGGGGTTCTGTGATAGCCCTAGTCTTAAAATGTATCGTTTCATTTTGCCATAGTTAGTTCACCAGCTATTTTTCCACTTCCCGCTATCGATCTGCACTGTATAACTTTGTTGAGTTCTGCTGATACTTTGGCTGCTGTGGCTGTTGCCGCTCTATAAACTACGGTAAAGAGTGTGGGCTTGATCCAGGACCAACGATATCAAAGTACGTGGTCATGCTCGGCCGCTTCAGCACGTGACCTAATCTGGCTACACCTTCACGATGAGTCCCACCGCTTGTTGTAGCCCTCTAAGCTACATCTGTTTACATATCAGGGGATAGATTAATATAGTCTGCCTGT